TGAACACTGTGTGTGTTTGTGTGTGTTACCTCACCCTGCTTACATGTACACAGCACATAAAGCCTTCAGGTCTGCTGTGAAGCCTCTACTTGTTCCCCGAAGGAGGCCCTAAGACCTCCAGAGATCCATCGGGAGGTTAGAGGGAAAATGATTTTAGTAGGATTTAAGGAACCCAGTGAGGCCATTTTCAGATTGTCTAAAGTAGGTATGCAGCTAATGATTATTTTTTCAATAAATTGATTAATAGTTTAGTCTAGAAAATGTCTGAAAATCAAGACAAATGCTCATCACAGTTTCTTAAAGCCAAGGTGCCGTCTTGGTTTCTCCAACAGTCCAAAAAAACCCAACCCAAATATCTGAATAGTTTATCACATAAAAAAGCAGCAAATCATCACAGTTACAAAGCTGGAACTAGGGATTGTTGGTCATTTTTGCCTGAAAAAAACCAACAACAACCAAAAACAGTCAACTGGGGTGCCCTTGTAGCTCAGCTGATAGAAGGTGTGTCCCATGAGACCTCAATCTGATTCCAACCTGCTGCCATTTTCTACATCTCTCTCTCTCTCTCTCTCTCTCTCTCCATTACTGTCACTCTTCAGCAGCTACTATTTAATAGAGTCAATGAAAAGCCCAAATAATAATAATAATGAAATAATAAAAATTGAATTCCAGCTTGTTGTTGCATGTTGTTACCCTCTCCCTCCCTCCATGTTTCTTGTCTGAATAAATAAATCAGGTGATAACACCTGAGCTCCAGAGGACTTTGATCCTGTATACACCTCTTATTCAGATGTGATCTGTATGTTATCCAGATAGGGAAAAACACATGTTAATGCAAAGTGTAAATGTGACATGATCCGAATGTGATCTGACCACATCTGGAGGTAGTCTGACTCGCATTGTGATTGGATCTTAGGTATAGTGTAAATGCAGAGATTTGCTTTTAGCTAACATAGAATATAGGTTGTTGACATTTTCAAGAGCAATCAAACTATTAGGGATATGTTGTAGACAGGGTTTCATGAAGGTTATAAAGTTTCCCCTAAAAAAATCACAGTTTTTTTTTTTTTTAAGTGAGTCTGGTGCTGATTTGCGGCCACCTCAAATTACTCACACGCAACTTTTGCTCTGGAGGAGAGCGATCTGACCTCAACGAGGATAATGACAATGCATTAAAAATACCAGGTGTAAATACAAAGGCAAGATCGGATCGTTGGTTATTATCTGGATTATCTGGATAACATATTCGGGTTCAGGTCCCATTTTAATACCAGGTGTAAATGGGGTTTGTGATGCAGATGCAGTTGAAAACTCCCAAAACTCAAGAACTGTCTCCCATGCTCCAAGACTAGAATACATTCTCGTAGCTTTTATCTCCAAACATCAAACAGTCTTACCCTCTAAATTAAAACCATGCTTCTGAAAATTCTTCATGCTTCTTTAAGGTCATAAAACTCTCTTAGCACCTAAAAGACCATGACGGTGCCTGATAACTTCTACTACTGCACACATAATACATGAGACTCCCGTGACAGACAATTCCCAGGTTTGATTCTTACAACATCCAACGTTTCCTCTGGCTTCTAAGTGTAGAAAGAAATATGTCTCATGTGCAGAGATCTGCGGCAGCTAAGTGCAAATCAAAGCGTTCAACTGTCACTAAATTTCACTTAAATATAAGTTTTGTTTCAGGGGGAGCCATGACAATGCAACACAGAAAGGGGGAGGGGGGTTCCCATCAACCTGCACTCTCAACTGCAAGCAGACTTGAACAGGAAGAAACAACAACAAAATAGTGTTTTTGGATGAATGTGTTTTTCATTTTAAGTGAGGTGACAAGAAGGAAGGAGAAGACTTCGGAAAAGCACAAAACACTGTAAACCCCACCACTGTGTGTGTGTCTGTGTATGTTGTGTTGATTTTCAACCCTGGCCCCGAAAAAAAATATGCCTCTTTTTTTGCAGGCCAATTTGTGCCCTCAGTTTTGTGGTGGTGGTTGTTTTGTGTTGTGTGTGTGGTGGTTTTTTTTCCAGTGGTGGTGATTTATAGTGATCTGTGGTGTTCTAAGGTTTCAGCCTACAGAAGTGTGTAATGGGTCTTAAACTGGCCGACACCCGATCGCCACGGATCATCTGCTGCCTGACAGGCATCCACCTCCACTATGAACACACACACACACTTCTTTCTCTCCTACAGTTTTCATACACATTTTGCTTCTCACACTCACTGTCTTGTTCCAAGCCTCACATACATAAACACAGATTTCACTCACTTAGATACACATTTCTTTAACGGCTTATCTTGACACCCGTGTCTGGGCACCAACATCGGAGGTAAAGTAACACTGTGGTCTCGTTGCCTCCTCAGTAATGCAGTTTTGACATTCTACTGTTTCACAAATGAAACCTCAGGTTGATTTCTGTATGCATTTTCACTCCTGAGATACTGTAACAAAGTGTGACGGGCAGGGACAAACTCAGTTAAACTACGTGTCAGCAAAAAAACAAGGATTCCGACCTCAACTCTGCAAGAGACAGAAAGCTGCCTCCATCATGACATTGTAAAAAATATTTGTCACTTGAAATGGTTAACAGAAATATGCTGAGACAACACACTGGAGACATTACAGGATGCCATTGGCTGTGAAGTGAACCTAAAAAAACATGCTGGCACCAACAAGGGCTGATCAAAGACTCAAAAGTCACCTTGGCGTGATATCCTCTGATCTCTACAGGAACGACTACCACATGCTCATTGTGATTCCCTCATCAAACAGAAGCACGTAGTTTTCAAGTCCCCACAAATAATCAAGGGCTTACATAATGAACCAACTCAACACTGAACTGTAAACTTTAGGTTTCTGTGGGCCTCCCTGTTGGTTAGCAGCTAAACACTGGTGATAGATGCTGTAACATACTGGAACCAGTTCTGTCACGTTACAGAAAGCAATAGTGGACGTTGGGCAGGTCTGAGATGCCAAGAACGTTTAAACTGCTGGAGGTTTTGTTTGTGTAATTCAACCACAACATTTGTTCTCAAGCATTTAAAAACCCCTATGACAAATCTGTTCACACCTCTCCTTTGCTTTAAGAGCGTGTTCACACCAACCAGCCATGTTGAAGTGATTCTTTTGAACTCTTCTTTGGTTTGGTTCATTTGGGAAGGTGAGAATAATGCCATCTCAACTCAGGTGGAACGTTTAAGAGTACAAAATGCCAGTTTAGTTAAAACTTAACCTTTCACACAAATGTCACCTGATTGTAATCTGGATGTCTATACATCATTTGACCTACAAATCACCAAATCTACGCTTCCTGGAAAGCTGAGTGTATCTCAAGTTACAAGCGCAGTCTGATTCATTTAGTGAAGCGATAAAGGTTGGAAGGTGTATACCTGACTCGTGGTCCCGTATGCAGTAGTCGGGTGAGTCCTCGAAGTACACCAGGTCATTCTTGCTGGGTCGTTTGAAGTGTGCTTGTGCGGCAGTGAACCCAGTGCCGTACTGGTTAACGGCCACCTGCACGGCGCCGTTATACCTCTTGCGAAGGTGGTCGCCAGTGCGCCTGAAGTCGGCCATGGCCAGCCAGCAGGTCCGAACGCTGCACGACCCGCTGACGCCGTGACATTTACACTCCAGATTCATGAAGCGCTTCACCGCCTGGCGAGGAGAGAGGGAGAGAGCAGGAAGTAAGTCAAAGTTCGATCTTCACAGTCTCAATATCACAGCAGGTATTAAAATCTAGTGATAGCGAAGACAAAACACTGAATCCTTTAAGTAGGTGTTTCCTCACCTTCCTGCCAGCTCGGTTGTTGTGCAAGTTCATGAGCGCTCGGGCGTCCCTCTCCTTCCTCTCCTTGGCGTCCACGAAGGCCTGGCTGAAGCGAATGGCGTGCTCCACGTGGTCACTGCAGCCGCCCCAGTCAAAAGAGCCCTTGGCATCCCGCGATGAGCCCTTCTTAGTGGGATCACAGGAGCAGGAGTCCAGCTCGCCCTGGCTGCAGGCTCGCGCCAAAGTGTAGACCACACCGGCCGAGGAGATGGCGTACATGAAGGCCACCTCGCGGCTGCCTGAGGGGAAAGGAGGTAATGTTCATCTGTAACATCTGTAACAAGGCAGGCCAACAAATTCAGTCAACAATACAAGTCTTAAGGTCTTTAAGGTTAGTTGTTTACCAAAGCCTTAAGACCTTGATGATGCTGTATTATGAAGCTTGTAGGTTTTGGTGCTACACCATCGACATGGTGAATTTCAATATTAATTTTTTTATTTTTTGAGGGGCCAGAGATACTCAAAAACGTATGAAACGCGGCACACATGTCTGAAGTGTCAAAAACGTACATCTGATAAGATTCTTGTACATGGGTCGACAACGGCTCTACAAAATTTCAATGAAGCAGACCCGATGGCACGGCACAGAGATAAACAAAAATTGGCACATGTATAATTTCTAAACAAAGCCTCTTAGAGACATACCCAAACAGGAAGTCCGCCATTTTGACTTTAAGGTGCAACAAATGCACAATTCTTGCAATTTCCATGCAATGTACTTCAACAAACTTCTCCTACAGGATTATCCGGATCTACTTGAAATTGTATCGGAGCAATCTAAAGACCTTGACGATGAAAGGTTATCATTGCTCAGTGTTTGATACATTGTTGAACTTGAATTTGGCTTTTCCCAAGCCATGACAAACAGAGAGATCCTTCAAATGTTTGGCCAGCTCTGCTACCTGTATGAACCGTGTTTGTTGTTGTCTGCTAAAAGCTTTCATTTCATGCAAGAAAAAAACCCCTTCATCTACCTCCAAGATGGATAAACAGCCAACGTTTACCAGAAATGCCCTGATAGAGAACCCTTATCTCCTTCTACATGTAACTGATGAGAGATCTGAGAGAAATCAAAGGCTGGGGCAAAGGGTGTGTGTGTGTGTGTGTGTGTGTGTCTATAACCTCTGCTACAAAGTTATGACACAGGTGAAGACACACAAAGTGATAGCGATGAAAGAAGTGTATTTTTGACATGTTAAAAGTAATAATGGATATTTTTTTAAATCATAAATCATCTAGAAAATAATGCAAAAGGCGTCATTGAAATAAATAACTGAATGTCTAAGATGTCCTCTTACTGTCCAGTCATCATAATCTAGATGAGAGAAGGCTCATATGCTCTCAGTTATTACTATGTACTCAGAGCAACATTAAGTGTCTTTTGAACCACTTTTGCAGGGGTTTCATCTGTCGGATTACAAACAGGCTGCCCTCAACATGAAATTGGTGGAGCCTGATGTGGACACATGGCGACCTAAGAGCACCTGCAGACAAAATTCAGGACCAGAACAACTAGTGCAAACACGTTAACAGGGGAAAACAAAATCATTTATGTTCATATATATTTAATTTACAGTTGACTACTTTAGAACTGGAGTTGAACCCAAAACAGGGCAAAGAACAGTACTGATATTTGTAAAACTAAATCTTCTTTCATTAAGTATCAGGTCTCTATTAATTACAATAAATGTGGTTTTAAGAAAGGTTACTTATACCCTATTTCTGATTTGACTCTCTCTTTTTTAGACTATTGTTATAGAAAGCACAATAATTGTACAATTTCAAATTTTCTAGATTGATATAAATGTCAATAAATTCAAAAAACAGTATTCATAGGCAGAACTCAAGACCTTTGACTTCACTGTGTCCCCCTAAATCTAAAACCAAACCTGCATCCTTTTGGAAAAACAGCTAAAATACTCAAATATATGCGGTTTATAATAATAAAACAAGAGAAAAGCTACAAATCCTTACTTTACTTTACTTGAACCTACAACAATTAGACATTTTATTTGTTATACTATTTTTACTAAAACTCATCAGAACTTTTGCAAATTGTTATTACTATTTTATTATTAAGCAAAGTTCCTGTCAGCTGCTTGTGTTAAGATTAAATGTATTTAATGTATGTCAAATTGTTAAAAAAGGGTTTTGCAGATGTCTCTCAAAGCAGTGTATAAAAAAAAGATTGGTATGCGTAATTGTATTAGCACTAATACTGAAAAACTACAAATAACACCTAGCCTGCATATAGTGATATCAGTGTGTGTGTGTGTGTGTGTTTCTGTGCGCGCCCCAGTCCAGCAGCTAAGTTGAGTGTGCCTAACGAGGTTAATGAGGAGAACGCTGAGAGAACACGACACCAGAGAGAAAACTCCTGTGTAATTGTTTGAAATTAGCCCGCTGACATTGACAATAAGGAGCTTCTGACGGGGGCTTCGATGTGCCGTGATAATGCTGTGTGACACGGCCGGGGCCCGGCTGGGAGGTCCGAATACCACACGGCTGATTAGAGGCCCCGACATGAAACAGACTAAGTCGAAGGATCCGCCTCGCAGGTTAAATCTCGGGGCATGGGAGAGGAACATCAGGCCGCCGGGTCCTGATGATCCTTCAGTGGCAATAAAATAAGATTATGACTTGTAGTAACACGTCCTCACAGGAGATACTGACTGATTTTAGCTGCTGAGACGCACAGTGACGTGTCTAATTTGACAGGACGTCCAGAACCCACGTCTATCGCAGGCAGCGGCAGTTACTCATTTCAGTCCCTGATTAAACCGATTACTGCATAACATTTATTTTATACTACAGTCTCCCAAAAAGTGACTTCTCTTGACTTTGAAATGCTGAATAAATCAAGTCTCTTCTTCTGCAAATGATGAAGAGAATGAATGAAGATAAACAGCGGCAATGACCTGACGTGGATGTTGAAAGTGAGGAGATTATATTTGTTCGGAAAAAGTCAAAATTTCTACCATTTCTCATTTGAACGAGTTGAGTGGAGAGTAATTCGCTAGCTGAGACAGTAGCTGGAGTGTATCCAACACACCAATGATAAAAATGTAAACTTTTTTTATTATTTAATTGTAATAATATGTATGTATGTAATAAACCTGCAATTAATTATTTGCATTATTGATTAGTCTGTAGAGGATGTTTTCAGTTTCCCAAGGTGATGTCTTCAGTTTATTTGTTTTGTCCGACCAACAGTTCAAAACTCAAAGATATTCTATAAAAATTATATGAGACAGAGAAAAGCGGAAAATTCTTACACCTGGGAAGCTGGAACTGGCAAAGGCTATTGTGGGATTTATACAGTAATTTTGCTTGATAAATGTCTTACATAATTTATTAATGATCAGACTGTCACCAATTATTTTTCTTCCGTTAACCAATCTTTTCAGCACTAAATCTGCATACCAGAACTGATAATATCGTTATAATAAAGTACTGAGTGTGTTAAAACCCAACACAAGAACGGACTGATGGAGAAACCAGTCGGCTGCACCGACGTGATAAATGTACAATTGTAAAGTGAGACGAGGCATGGAATGTGATCCAACCTCTGTGAAAAAGAGAACATATCTGCGAGGGAACTATCCGTTTCCCAGAAAGCCTCAGTGTCGCAGTAAATCTACCCGACACTTTAAAAACCAACCGATTGTTTAGATTTGTCAGCGTTAAGTTAAGGCATACGGTCGAACATGTTTGTCGCTGCAAACAGATCGGTGGGCTGTAACACACGAGATGATGCAGGGATTCAATTCCAAAAGGTGCCAGCAGCACACAATGACCTGGAAACACGACCCAGCGCACTGTATATTGTTGCAGGCAATCTAGTCAATAACTTTCTATTCTTAGCCGTGCAGAGTTTAAGGCACCTGACAGCCCCTGGAGTCATATCATAAATAAGCGCTTTACACACACTTTCTGCACCTCATCCCCGCTCCTTATATAATTTACTGCAAGGTTAAGCAATAAGGACAAATGTAATATATCTGTAATTATCACAGCATTACCTCAGTACTGATGTTCTCAAAACCACGTTCTAAAGTTACGCTCATGACACTGAGTTAAATGTTTTTTAGTGTTTTCCTACAACAACATATTTTTAAAATTTTCAAATATAAGTTCAGATTTAAAAAAAAAAATACTTACAACTGTAAACCACAATATCTCAACATGAGAATTTTCCAACAATACAACTACAGAGAGACAATAAGTGAATAGCTTAATGCAACTTTCATCTGATGTCTACAGACATAATTCACTGAGACAAAGTGAGGCAGGTATTACCAATGGACACGGTTTCATTTGGTCTAGTAACAGACTAAACTATAAAATCTAAACCTGGTAAACATTCATTTGTCTCTTGCCTGTCCTACTGAGGGGTCAGAGGTCAACTACAGAACAGCAGCCATGGAGCTGATAGAGGCTCAGTGACTTGCTCAAGAACACTTCAGCAGGCAGGATGCTTGCTGGACAAGGTTTGATTTCAGATCCTCTAGATAAAGGACAGTCCCTCCCTGATGTCCCACATTTTCCAGGATAAAGCTTTTTAAAACTTTAAAGTAGTTGACTAGTTTGACTTTTTTTTTTTGCTGAAGTAATCAAAGTGTCCCCTCCTGGTTCTAACATTCCCTCCACTCACTGCGTAGAAGCAGGCGTCCAAACAGGTTGTGGTCCCTGGCCGTGGTGTTGCAGTTCCAGCGGTGGTTGCGGAACTGGTGCTGGCACTCTGAGATCCAGTCCTTCATCCCGGCCCCGATGGCTTGCATCACTTTCGGGTGCTGCCGGCACAGCTGGCGCTGCCTATTCACCAGACCTGGGATGTTGTCGCACATCACCTGGGAGCCCAGGGTGCCCATGTACCTGCAGAGAGGAGAGGCAGACAGAGAGAAAGCTGAACTAGTGAACATCTGGGGAAACTTTTGAATCATTAATCGAGGAAGGGAAAAGTGCAACGTGGAAAAATACATGTTCAAAAATATCTGGACAGGCGGACGGATGAAAGACACACACAATTTGGTCACCACTTTCTCTCAGTGATCTCAAAGACAGAAATTTAAGGAAAATGTTGGACTAATTCTATCAACAAAAGTGCAAACTAACTCAATATATGGCTGCACTTCCACGTAGCTGCAGTATAGAGCTCTGCAGGGTTGTTGCACACTTAACTTAAGCAGACACAGATAACTAGGGGAAAAGACAAAGAAATAACAAGGCAAAAAGGTGTCTTCATGAGAAATGTGTTGAAATCACTCCTAACAAGTCCACACTCCCATGTACCTGCAGAACAAGGTGATGAAAGACTGTCAGGGAATTTGAACACTTGCAAGGCTGCCGGGATTTTCTTCAGCAATTAAAGGAAGACCAGAGCAGCAAGAAAAAACGAACTGAGGGAAATTATCCGTCCAAACAGCATCTCAGTATCACAGGCAGTATGAAGCATGGAATTTGGAAACATAAACTTTGCAAATATTCATTAGAAAAATCAAGAGAAAGACAGCAAATAAAGAGAAATTAAATGATATCATGTGACTTTATCTTGGAAACCTATCTGCCCAAAACATTCAGTCCTCAACTTCAGTATTTTATAAAATACAGTTATGAAAACCAAAGAGGGAATTTAGTCACTGTGAAACTTGTGATTAACAAAAGGAAAAATATATGAAACAGTTTTAAAGGCAATTTAGAGACCTTTCTTAAATAATCAAACAGAGGAAGGAAACAATACCCGAGATAATAAAGTCAGACAGTCTGATGCGCAGATCAATTAAACAACGTTTAACAGCATTGGAGCGCATTTTCCGCCATTTTAATAAGAAAGCCATGCATTCAGCGCATGGCTTTCAGCTATTTCATATTAAATAAAGATGTAAAAACACTACACAGTACTTACCACCAGGACGCATCGACCTCGGCCGTCAGCCAGCAGATTGCTACCGATAAATAAAAACATATTCCACTTGGCAATAAGTTCATATTAAGCAAACGTTGGTCCTTTATGGTTCTGGACGGAGCATTTCCACGGATGAAAGAGAAATATTAAAATATTAGAGAAGTCAGAATTTGCTGAAACTCCAAAATCAAGCTTGGAATAAAAAATATACCATCACAGGACAGTCGGAGGACGGAGGTTTGCGCGTAAAAGCCATGACCGGGCTCGGGTTGTGCACGGTGGCAAAGTGCTTGTGAGGAAGAAGTAAAGAGCGACTGTCTAATACTCCAGCAAATATTTTCAGTGGAGATGATGAGCTATCAGGTTTAAATTGCTTTACACAAGGGGTGGGCAGAGTCCCGTCTCAGGAATGAGGTGAAGAAATGAGATGTCTGAGAGTATCTGTTCAGGCTGGTTTGACACCAGACAGGCTTGGCCCGCGTCCAGACCGGAGCTCCGCTGCTCTGAGATGTGGTCCAAGCTGATGGGCTCTTCACTCAGACTGCACCGACGCGTCGGCCAAGGAGGGAGCCGGCACACTCAGCCATTGTCAGTCACCAGAAAAACGCAAAAAAACGCTTAAGATTCAATTTCAGGGGACAGCGTGGAGCAGATGGACCGGTTTGTGTGGCGCACGGAGCCCAGGAACTTATAGAAGATTACTTTTGCGCACAAATTAAAGATAGTAACTTCTGGGGCACAGGGTCCGTGTCTTTTACGCACAAGACTTTTTAAAGTTTCTAAGGATCATTTTCAGAACTTAAAGGGGGGCTGCATAGTGGTCATTGTATTTAGTGCTAAACAATAAGACATCAAACTATCCAGTCACATCCCAGAATTCCCTTTCTGCTTCCTCTTGGCTCCCACATACAGTGTGTGGGCATTCATTCTCATTAAGGCCTAAAACGTAGAATGAAATTTGGATTAATGTGAAGGTGACAGCACACTGCCATACCCACTGACACACAGGTACCAAATAGTTCTGATGCCCAGGCATGACGCATTATTTTACAGCCTTATACAAGCCGTCACTCAGTCCTACTAATAACTCAGGAATGATGGTTTAAAAAAAAAAAACGCAGGGAAAGAAAAACTACGCACAGATTCCACCAAACCAGCATCTGAAGGTGATGTGTCAATTTCAATTGGATTATCTATCACGGTCCGTTTGAAGTCTCTTGGGGAAATCTGTGCCGCTGTCACACGGTATTTCCTCCATCTTTGATCTGGCCCGGGTCTATCTGGAGGTCCGGAGACCCTGACCAGATGAGATTAATGGGCAAATTGGATTTTTCCCATGATCCCCGTGGAAGAAAACCATAAAACAACAAGGAGATTTAAAGCGCTCTCTCTGCTCTTCTCAGCCCATTGAACACCACTTTGTTGTCGCAGCAGCAGTAGCTGTGATAAGTCTGTAATATGAATCCAGTGTAATTGGAGTAATTGTTCACTGCCATACTGCTTTTAAGAAGAAAAAGACCGGTAATTGTAGACAATTTAACAATGTAAAGTCAGGTGATGGCCTGAAGAGACTGACTCTAATTGACCTGGTCATCTGAGCTCCACTCACTTAAAGCTGATAACTCACAATCAATCAATACTCTCTAAGAATTTATCTTTCTGAGGTTCTATTTCTGGATTTTAAAAAAAGTTTCCTGAATTTGAACATCATAGGTGGTGGCTACAATGGTTAGAGATTGGGAAACAGGATTCTTCAGATCCACAGCACTATGGATTTAAAGAAACAAATAAATAAACACTGGAAATACACTTATTGCATTTCTTTTAGTTAGATAAGATTGATATCATTCTCATGTCTGTGGGTTAAGAATGTAGCTGGAGTAAGGAGACAACTAGCTTAGCATAAAGACTGAAAGCTGCCTCAAAAGTCAAAAAATGTACAGAACATCTCTAACGCTCAAGAATCAAGGCGTTGTCTATCTAATACATACCTCAATTGAAATGTAATGGTTCAAGTCACTGCCTCTAAAGATGTTGTTCGCCAAGCAATAGTTCCAACATGCCCAAAATCACAAATGGTTGTTTTTACATTTCTGTTCAAGTACGGATGTCTAAAAAGTGAGATTCAGAGGTGCTGGTGGGCAGATTTGTTTCTCTTTTCAACTTTGTACAGAGCCAGGCTAGCTGTTTCCCCCCTGCATCCAATCTTTACCTCAAGCTCCACCTCCATATTCAACACCCAGACATGAGGTTGATATTAACCTCAGAATTTACATTTTAAAATCAAGTTACTTTTTTTCCAGGCACTGAAAACAGAAACCATTCTCAATTTGACTATGCAATAAATTGTTCCTCATAAGGAACTTTAATTTTCACTTAAATCCTTAAACATAAAAGAATTCAGAACCAAACTTAAAGACAAGTCACAGCAAAGTGGAAAACCAAAGAGCAGCAAAAATAAAAATGCTGTCTTGTCAAACATTAACATTCCTAAAATAAATCAGTCCTTCAATAATCCAACTTATTACCTACAGTCATCAAAAACTAATATCATGATGAGCTCATTAACTAACTGATTGACACTACTGTCATTCCACTACATCTGCAGGGACACCTTGCCGCTGGCAGCTTTGTAGAGGAACAAGAGAAAAGTGGCTCCGAGCGCGCTCAGTGCCACTCTGGTCACGGACCGCATCCTCCGGTTGCTGCGGGAACCAGGTTCAGGAAGCCGACAGCAATCTACAGCCTCGTCCATCTGAGGGAAGGGAGAGAGATTCACATGAGAAACACACACCAAATCCTGTGGTTAGAGCAGGAAGTAGAAGGGTTGCAGGTCATTTAACTTAATCCAGTCTGGATTACGGAAGTTTACTGGTTGGACAGTTTTAGGCCAGTTAAACCTTGACTGGCTGGGAAATATCAACTCAGTTACTACTGGGAGGGAATCAAACAGAGACCAGCTCATTTAGGGGATGAGGGCATGTCTGGTCCCATCGCACCACCACAGCATGACTCGCCAACCTGAGTCACTAAAACTTCCTGTGCCAAATCCTCAAGGATTCTACGGCCAAGTGGAGAGTCGAGTCTTGGTCATGGTCAACTCATGTTGGAATAAGGCTTTTCATAAACCCTCAAGTAAGAGGGTAACACAGTGTCACACTGACTCCCTGTCATGTGAGAAAGTTTGAAGACACAAGTTCAAGTTCAGCTTTCTTCTGGTAAATGTGACTTGGGAACTTGCGGTTTGGCAAAGAACCCAGATTTCTACAACTTCCCGTCATTCCCACAGGACACAAATGCAGCCTGAATGCCAAAGCAAAAAATATTGAGAATGGTGAGATTTAAGTGTCTCCTAACCCACCAAATGACCATAATATCTGATAATATGCAGATCAATACCTTTGACTTGGATTACTTCTCCAAATTTCCAGAATGCAAAACTCATTTTCCAGCTCGGGTTTGGATGAATAACCCAATGGAATATACTAGTCATAGCTTCTCACCCATAGAAGACGGTGTTATGATTCAGGCACCAGCATTGCAAGTCACATTTTAAAGCCAATGATGTGAAAGAAAGACCAGCATTATCAGGTGTTTGGAGGTAACCGGGCTCTGTGGTTCAGAAGTTTGTGTTCGGGGCTTTTTGCAGAGAAATGTTTTGGGGAATTACAGTGTGCACGGTTGCATTAACTGCCTCATGAGTGCTGCATGAGGGGAACCAGCGTGTGTTCACACTTGACAGGATGGTCACAGTCAAACTACCCACAACCAACTGGAGGCTGGTGCTCCGTACGTTAAGATTCCAGGAGGGGCTTTCAAACTATATCAGCCAAATCATCACTCATTATTTGGTTCAAGGAGTCTTACCTGTACACTGACACAGAACTTAATGTGACTGAACAGGGTTTTGAAGGCTTCATAAAAATCTGAAACACATATACTTTGGACACAATATCAGCTTATTGAAGCTAGAGTTGCTCCGATTCCGATACCAGTATCGGAAATTGCTCTGATACAGCCGAAAATGCTGGCATCGGTATCGGC